AAGAAATGATAAAAAATAAAGTATATATATCTAATAAAACCAGAATTGACCTTCGCAAAAAAAAAAAATCGACACAGAAAACGCCAGTATATTTGCATATTTAATACTAGACAAGTGAGTAATAGATCGATCTGGATGAACAATGAAAAGAGAAGGAGAGACTAAACAATTGATAGATCGATCAGTAAAGAGGTGTCATTTAATTTTAAAAATATATTTTAAGTGTAGGACACTCATCGATATTGACGATCAACAAATTCAATATCGATACACCGGCTACATAAGTGATTAAAATAAGCTAGACCAATTTATTATAATTAATAGTAATCACAATAATAGTTTACATCATCTTTCTCCTATCTATCTCGGTAAGAGATACATTTTTATTTAGAAAAATAACTAACCGATCATAATAGAAGTATTTGTAATTTATGTTAAGTCAATGGGCCTCGATAATTCATCGAACTATTATTAGCAATTGGCGTCGTTTTTTTCCTTAATTTCATTTTGACTATTATGGTTTTTATTTGATGTTTCATTTGATAGGCTACTCTTTTTTAGTGGCGTGGACTCACTAATTGGTTTTTGCCCATCCACTAAAAGTTTTATAATTCACTCTACTCTGCGAAAATTTTGTATATTTCTACCACTTTAAAAACATTTGAGGCAACGCCCGCTCACTAACAAAATTCTGACTACGACACTATTCTTTTTAGCTTGTGTACCATGCGTGATCATATTGAATACCAACGATTGTATTCCTTCTAGAAAATAGGATGCACGAAAGGTTAATAACATTGCGAAATGAAAAGAAAACATAGAGCGTAGAAAAGCGATGACAATCGATGCTGAACCCAATGATATTTTGATTACTAAAAAGTTTGTTGACACTTGCTTGATATAAACTAGTAAATAATTCTAGTCTCACGACTAAAAACCAGACAACACCTACAATAAATCAAACATAATGAAATCATTTGACACAATATAATAAATTATTGAAATAGAGTAAATGGAATTGTGAAACATTCATCTAAAAGAATGACGATGGATTAAAAACGATTTAGCAATGTTTTCTTTTTTTGTAAGCGAAATAAGAGTAGGCACTCATAACAAAGACGATGAGTACAAAAATAATTGTTCAGACAGGTAACATATACAATGTCGTCAAATTATATTTTCAAAAATGGTTGCAGTTTAAGTCAATAAACAATGGATAGAAATTCTTCAATGTTAATAATCACAGATTTAAATCAGTATAAAATACAAATACGAGAATAAAGTTAGATAATATATCAGCCTTGTGCATCATTTTTATTATGATACCATAGACATATTGATTGCGGCGTTCGATTAGACAATGACATGTCCTTCGGAAACGTGCTCAATAAATACTGATAAATTTTATTCACTGAAGATGTGTTTCTTCATAATATTTCACTTTTAATTTCAATATCAATTTAACTAAGCTCATGGTCAAAACAATAATGTTTGTAAGACCTATTACCACCAGGGTCGCAAATAATGGGAGGATGTAGGAGAGTGAGCACTCCCCGAATAATTGAAAATGTTGTTATTGTTATTTTATCAATTATTTCTCGCACAAAATATTTTTTAACAATTTTACACTACATCAGAGAGAAAATTTGTTTTACACTTCCCCAATGTTTGGCAGCTATTTACGGCTCTGATTAACATATCATATAGCAGACTAGAACTGATAGTGATTTAAATATATCTGTTATGAAATGCAATTTCAACTATAAATAAAAAAAATAGATATTCACACAGATACACCAGTCCTGCGTAAACTTTCAGATGAAAAATACAATAAAATAATACTTGGTCAACAATGGTTCGATTATTCAACGAATTCTAATATTATTTTAACTTGATTTTTGCAGATATTTTAAACATTTACGGTATAGGCACAAACAGAATCGCAAAATATTTAACAAAATACGAAGGCTTCTATAATTGTTTGTTCAATCTATGCTGTAGTTTGATTTGATTTATTGCTGCACTCACGTTTATTTGAGGAAATTTAAACTTTTGTCATTCTGTTAGGCACACTTTCTAATCTATAGTGCACTCAAAGTTTTATCAAAAAATTCCAAATACTTTTTGTTAGTGTCGTAGCAAAAAACAGCAGGTGTAGTGTAACTTTGGAAATATGGTAAGAACTTTAGAGAGTGACTCGATCACCTTCGATAATCAAAATTTTTGTTTGTAATGTCTTTTTTTGCAAATAAACAATACAGCATGAAGAATGTGTTTTCTCTTTTCTGCTTACTGCTATAATCTTCTGGGCAGACTTTGCCCTGAAAAAACCGAGAGAATACTTTTTTGATTGAAAGAATGGAGTAAAATCAAAAAGCTGGTGTGATGCACCTATCGCCACGGGACTGTTTTGATTCTCTGAATAAGTTATTAAAAACATACAATTACTTATATGTATTTTTTGAATGTCTGAAACTTACATGTTTGAAAGACTAAGTTTAAACTCATTTCAGACTAAATATAATAAAATTAATTTGAAAATTGTGCTGTGATGATGTTTTTATAATCAAATAAAATCAATTTCGTTACTTTTTAAACTTCAATAATAGCATTTAAAGCAAATACATTAGAAGATTCTATTAAATACATTAGATCAAGAGCGTATGAAAAAACTGAATTAAACACAAAAGTTGCTACTTATCAACTCGAAAAGTTTACAAATAAACTGATAAGTATTGAATCACCTGGATAGGCTTGATGAGGAATATTTACGGTAGAATTTTCAAGGCTTCATCTATCAACATTCAGAAGATGTCACCCCTTTATGGATCAAAATGAAAGTGTTTGTATTTTCAGAAACTCTCAACTTGAGTGATAACTAGCTCAAATAGATCTCAAATTGATACTAAGATATTCTTTTATAGGATCACCGAGTTTTATTTGAAATATTCTGGTTTGTCTAAGAGTTAACTGTTTCGATCATCTTTGGGAAAGGCAATCTTAACTAATTTTCTAATCGGCGATCACAATTGTATTTTCATGTTAAGAAAAGAACAAAAACTTGCCCAAATACATACAAATTTCTGAACTACTGTTCCCTTAAGATATCACGTTATTCATTATCCAACTAGGAAATAGTAATCTGGAAGTTCTTAGGAGATAGCAAATAGTATTGGGACAGGCCTCATGTACTCTCTAAGGAGACACGTTTCTGCAGTAGCTTCGAAGGTATACAAGTTGAGTTTCTCATTCGATTTTCGATGAAAACAACAACGTATTTCCATGGAAAACGATAGACCTTGAAATATCTTCATAGATAAGAAGTATCGATAAACATATGCACATATGTTGATAATTACTAGTTTAGAGTGATAATACAGCATGAGGAAAATATACAAATAAGATAAACTGATGTTACTCTTTTTTATACTGTTTCTATCTCCTAATAAGTTCCCGATTTTCTGCTTCTAGGCTTCCCCTCTTCTACAACTTATGCTTGTTTTTGTTGTTGTATGTGGAAACGAAAAAGAAACAACCCTAGACAAATTTTTTTTGATAAAACTGATATGATTCTTATCGGAATCTTATCAGTTTCTTATATAAGATTGTTCAAGATTTCCCATCGACAGTCGAGAGTATCTTATAAGAAGCTTATAAGATTTTCATAAGAGGTTCGTAAGAAATTCATAAGAAGTACCAAAAATTCTTATGTTATTCTTATGTACTAGAAGGCAGCTTATGAGTTGGTTTTGACGATTTCTGTTATGATTAAGTTGTTTCTATTGGCTGGAAAACTTTATAAGAATTTTTGGTAATTATTATGAATTTCTTACGAACCTCTTATGAAAATCTTATAAGATTCTTATAAGACACTTACGGCTACCGATGGAAAATCTTAAATAATCTTATATAAGAAACTGATAAGATTCCGATAAGAATCTTGTAAGACACTGGTAAGAGGCTTAGACGTTTCTGGTAAGATTCTTATATAAGAATCGATGTGTAGGGAAAGAAAGAATAAGATTCTTTCCTGCATGAAATTGGACATGGGTAGTTTGTTCTTCTCGGATTATATTCTAGACATCGTTCTGTTTCTCCACCAATTTATCTTATTTGTATATTTTCTTCTTATCTATGCTGTTACATTTATTTTGTGTCTTCGAGCAATGGAGTTGTCTGGCGTTTTAGTGGAAGTAGTGGATGGGGCAGAGTGGATTTGTGAAATAGCATCTGACTAGGAAGATGTTAGTTGTATTTAAAATGCACAACTACAGGATAACTCCGAAATGTTATTCATTAATGTATCGTATTCAATTATCTACCTTGTACCTTGTCATCTTTTAGATAGACAAGGTACCATGTCCGTATCTTTCTTTTGTATATTATTTATAATACGTTGAAAACATGACAATGGCGACGGACTTAGTTGAAAGATACAGAACTATATTGCAAGAAAATGTCAAAGCTGGGGCACAAATTAAGTTTGATTTAGAATGGATATTGGATCAGAATGAAATGTCTATTTTTAATCGATATAAGCAAGAAGATGCTAATGCAGATATACTTTTCTATGGAATGTTACCTTTATTATCACGGTTTGCTCAATCATCGATATATGTATGCATCAACGTTTGAACAATAAAAAAAACCATTAAATTTGTATAGTATTATAGTTGGATCAGGAGGTATAATGTGCAATATTCTTTTGTTGCTCATCATCTGCTTTTTGTATTCAGCAAGCTATACTGCGTGTCGAAATACACACTAAAATAGCAAAAACGAAAATATATGCCTATCTTTTAGTCTTGCCACATAAAAGCTTCCAACTGAATGAGTTCTTAATCTCTTGAAAGTTTCTATCACCTAATAGTTGTCAGATTGAGCTTATCTGTGATTTCGAAACGCTCCTTTATTATTATGCAGGTTGAGGAATAGCTGCAAATTTGGATCATTTAATAATAGCAGCCACAAAAATCACAAAAATCTTTCAGCATGTTTATATGAAAAATGTGCGACGTGATGCAGGTCATACACAACTAGAAAATAGTGTAACAAATAATTCAAATGGATTAACTTTACTGGAGTTACTGGTTGGCGACGATGTGTGTATAGTGGATGATAAAATCGAAGGTTCATTAGTTGAGTGGTGTATTTACAATGAGAAAGTATTATGTTCATTATTCGATAGTACTGATGGATTCTCCCGATTAACATCATTTCCAACAAATAGAGCTGGGTTATCGATTTTAGGCGGTACAACAGGCACACATTTAGCTAATGTTTTGAAAGACTGGTTGAATGGAAATGATGAATATGGTTTTCTTTATCGTATGATGTTTTTATCAGTGTGGTATAAATCACCAGTTTGTCCAAGTAATTTGAAATTTGCTGATGCTGGTATACCGTCGTTTATTCATGTTTTTCTTGTTTGCCACTTACTTGGATCAATAGAATATCGCTTCGATACCATTGGTAAGTTATTCGAATACTTGCAAATTTTTGTTTGATGTTGTTGCTTTATTGCATCTAGACGAATCTTACATATCAACAACAGCAAGCACAAGAGCAGATATAAGCATTGATAGTAATAGCGCTTATTTCGTTATGTAATTAATAAGGTTGCTGGTCAAACTGATATATTGCAATGTAAAGATTTGCCATCACATATTATACCATTTTATGCTAAAACAAATGCTATTTATCCAAGTATTTGTGTGTTACTTAAATTATATAACAATATTATGTCCGTTTTAACTGAATTACAAGATATTATTGATTTTGATGATATTTTTCGAGAAAATGGTGCTAATACAGAAAAATGTATAGCTGCAGCAGTTAAAGTGCTTAATCAATTATTCTTATCGACAGCGGAGCAATTTAAGAAATCTGGTATGTATGGTATTATTATATTGACTGTACTTTTATACATTTTGATCTTCATCATTCGCCGTTGCTTATTTTTAAGTTTTATATAATAATTAATTCTTTTACAAAATAAAAATGCTTAATATTGTCAAAGGCAATTCAGAGTTGTAACCGAGCCGGCAGACCGACTGGCCCGATCCAGTGCTGGTGTAAAAGTTTAGACCGGCCGGCCTCCACCGGTCTTTTGCCGGTCTAGAAACATGTTCAGATCGACCGGTGATTGACGAGTTTTTTGCCGGTTTTGAAATTCTTAGAAATTATCTCTTCTTCACTAAAAAAAGTGAGTTTTTCTGCCCTCTTGTCTGTCTAGAAAATCTTTGCAAACCGGCGGGCTTTCTACCGTTTTTTCACCAGTCTAAACATTTTTTCAAAACTGGCAGGTCTTTTGTCGGTTTTTCACCAGTCTAAACCGATTTTTGGACCGGTCCGCAGGCCCAATCCGTTCCGCTGTTTTGGACTGGCCGGCCCAGTCCGGCCTCTTATTTTTAGACCGGTTACAACTCTGAGACAATCTGACTCTATTTTTGTTTTAGTCCAGCATCAGATCCTTGCTATCCCATGTCGAAATTTCGAAAGAGATTTAATGCAAAACCCTGCAGAAATTCGCGTCCGTTGTTTTGCAAAAACCTGTAGTAAAATTTCCGTATCTCACGTAACATCACACGCATGAATTTTCTTCTGCGCTTTTCTGCAAGAACAAAAAATAAAATTTTGCAATAAAACGCAAGACAAGATCATCGTTTTTCATGCATAAAATATTACTCGGATAATTATACCTTAAAGCTTCATGCAGTATTCTGAAAACATTATCACGGGCATTACTTACTTTACAATCGGATTTATCTCAAAGGAATCAGTCTAGTCAAGTATCGCAACAACTTGTGAGTTGGTCTGATATAACTTTTGAGCAAAGTGATAATATCACACAAAGTAAATTTTTACTTACTATTGTATTTCGTCTTATTTCCTATATATTTTTATCTATTCAGATAAATCTGTAGTAGCCGCACAAACGAATGTAAATGTCAGTGAAGAACAACATACGTCAGCAATTATGATAGCTAATGTGCAACAAGAAGAAGTTGATCATAATCCTAATGCTCAATTAAATGATATGGAAAATAATGTTGATGAATCAGGTAAAACTTATTCGAATACGCTTACCAAATACAGAAACTGCTATAATGTAGATCTTACATTAGATGAATAAGTTGAGGTCTATCGAAATTGCTTTTATATTTTGCTGTAAACTGTTGTCCTGCTTTGTGTATTCAGATAATTATCAATTAGCCAATATTGGCAATAGTTTAATAGTAATTGTTGGTCAACCAGCAATGATTATTAATGCAGAAGAACTACCAAATGTAATGCATCAAAAAGTGGTAGTAAAACACCTGACACATAAAAGTAACAAGCACAAAGTGTTATCGATGATAAAAGTAGCAATCGTAAAAGAAAGGGTAAAAGTAATTATGTGTAATTTTCATTGCTTCATACGATGTTTTCTGACAGTGTAAGTAACAGAATTATTTCTTTTTTTATTTAGAAAAGCTGGATGAAGCAGCAATTCGTAATCTTTATAAAAGCAAAATAAAACTAAGTAATAATACTAGTACAATACTATTCCCATTAACGCAGTCACCCTAGTCATCGATTCTTATATAAGAATCTTACCAGAAACGAATAATGCTATTCGACGAGATATTTTAGCATGTGGGACTTTAGATATAGACGAATCTTCGGCACAAGAATTACGCGTTAAAAATATAGATTTTATAAATGCATTAGCAACGCTTCGAACACTACCAGAAAGTTTTCACAAAAATCATCACGAAAACAACCGAAGTAAACTAAAACCTTATTTATCCATTCATATGTTATTTAAGCTATTATACAATATTATTTATCACTAACACTCTTCTTCCTCAAGCATGGCTTCAATAAATCTCGTAATCTAGTATATTAAAACCAAAATAAAATTTTGATGCATGGAGTAGATAGAGGAGAAATAGTCGTGTCTACTGTAAAATTGTCATGAAAGTTGATCTCTTACTAACTGAGTTACATGCGTTCCATTTTCAGAAGAACACAATTTAAATAATCAAATCAAATAAAAACTGTAATAAGTAACTTTTGTAAAAATGCAAAGTAGCGAGTTTGTAGAGAATTTCATGGGCTTCCCGAATGATGTACAATATGTCTATATATCTTGACTTTGAAGCTGGAAAAAAGTTCTTTTGCTATAGATACGACATGAGAAAACTTATTTCAAAAATCATCAGGACGTTTTATTCTGTCAAACACCGTACCAGTAGGCTCAGAGATTCATGTAGATCAACTTGGCATGCTTTTTTGAGTGTTAGTGTACTTTTTTCTGGGTGTTAGTGATTACAGTCGGTGTTTATTTGTAAAAATGGTTAAAAAGCTCAACTATTAATGATTGTTATGGGTGTTAGTGGATGTGTTAGTATACTCAACGCGACGAGCTCTATTGAGTGGCTGTTTCACATTTTAATTTCAGGGATTTTCTGGATGTTAGTGAGTGTTCTCACGTTTTACAAATATCCTTATCATTGCTACCAATGCGAAAAAGAATGCCATGAAATAATAGCTAATTAATTAGCACAAATGTCCGGTTTTATTATTAACAGAGATAATGTGATAGACACTTATTAATTCTTTTTCATGTGGTAGATTCCATCCAAAAGTGGAACTGGTATAAAAAAACGCCAGTGTTATCGGTCACAGGTTTCGAATTTAAAACCGACCGGTTAACCGATAGCAAAGCTAAAATCAAAACTGGCCACTTTTGCCGATTTCAACAAAAAGTTTAAGATTGTGTAACCGTTTTAGATTTTAGAGATTAGGTCAGAAATAGCACTGACACTCGACCTGAAAAAATGACAACTTAAACGAGGTTGCACCACACTGTGAAAAAACAAGTGCCCCTCGGGCGATGGACGGGACGTTTAAAGTAGCCGACAGTAGGGCACTTTTCTTGATGGGACACATTTTTATGCTTGAAAGTGACCGGAGGAGGGAACTCAAAGTACCCCATTCATCGTCCATCGAAGTGCCTTTTTTAGCTGGCGGGGCACTTGTTTTTCGAGAGTGCAGAGGTGGGATCGGACCGATAAACCGGTCGGTTACCGGTCCGATCTGGTTGAGACCGAAGAAAACATTACTGGTATACGGTGAAAGTTGTTCACGAAATGTCGTTTTCTGCTCGGGAAAAATCTTTTCGTGTTACATTCTAAAAATTGAATTCTGTAAGCTGTTTCTGTTCAATTCTGTTTCAAGAAAAATGAGTTTCCAGCCACCTTTTTGCGAAATGCGTTAACGATTTTCCATCGACTAAAAAATTTTTAGAAACCGGCGGGTTTTTTGCCGATTTTTGGCTGGTTTAGGCGTGCTTTTAACCGACACTTAACCGGTCCAGTCGAATAAAACTCAACCGGTTCCAACTCTGGGTTACACATAGTGTTCAGTATGATAAAATAACCATACAATGTCTTTAACATTTTAACTGTAAAAAACCAAAACAGTTGTGTAAGTTAAAAGAATAGAATACTTATTGAACAATAAAATGTAGTTGTTACTAATTATTCATTATCTAGCCTTTATTTATTACGTCATTTATACTTTGTTCATTTCTCTCGTGTAATCTACGGTGCATTCTATGTATGGTACCTTTAAGTATGCAAAAAAATTACAAAAAGTATTTTCTTTTCTACATCGATTCTTTTCTACTGATCGATTTATTTTCTGTGTTAAAAAAATATTTTATGATAAATCTTTATATTCGTTGTTCTAGTTGAAATTCTGCCTCGGATGGTCTAGATTTCACAAAAATTGATAATTTATTGGATTTCTTATCAATGGGCTCATTCATATCATTTGACAAGAATATATTGACATAGGATATTCACTGAAGAAAGTGGACGACATGGCTACAATGATAAACTCACAAATAGAAAATATCTGTTATGTAAGAAAATATTTCATAAATAAATCAAATATATTTTCAAAGTATCGTAAACATTTTAAGATGTTTCGATGTTTAAATACTTCAACTAGAGTTACAACTCACAGTTCACATGCTTAGACAAAAGTCTAGAAACTACGACAGATGTATGTTACAAACTACAATCAAAGAATAGAAGGCATCAGCTGAACATGATAGAACTCATCAAAGTGTTAGAAAAGAAAACGTTATATAGACCTAATGAATTCTTGATTTCATATTACGTACACGTTTTATATAAGTTGATACTGTAAGTTTATACACTTCATTTACCAGCATTGCAAAACAAATTATACAAAAAACTCAAAATGTGTATCTATTTGAAAAAATCACAGGATTGATTTTCTTCCAGAACTTATTCCATCTTAAATAGTCTAAATTTTAATAACAGACGTGCTATAGTTAGTGTTTGTTAATAGAACAAATCTTAGATTATAGTTATAAACTTATTCACAACAAAAGAAAAGGTCTCTTTTAGCAATTTAACATTGCATGTTCTATTCTTGACGATGTTTGAATATCGCGACGATTTATACTTCGAAATATTATTCGCGTTATTAATATCGGCAAAATATTTCTTTCTTTCGAATGAGGAAAATATTTTCATGAAATAAACAAGGCCATTTCAGATATTCGATAAGTCATTCGTCACTACGCGTATTAGATAAATTTAAACATTCCGACTAGTATATTCTTCTTTTTCTTCTTTCTTCTACTTGTGTTATCAGTATAATACGAAAAAAAACCAGTTATTTGTTCAATGTAGTCTAACAAAAACAGGTAAAACCACACTGGAATGTCTTTTTTATAACAAACGATTGACTATCTCATAGTTGCTGAATAATTTTGAATTTCATTTTCTTCTCTATCTATTCTGCTTTACTTATGGTGTTACAAAATAGATTAAAACTATTGTTTTTAGGATTAATACATTTTTGAATAGAGAACATTTTCAATTTATTGAACAATATTTGACTTCCTACACGTACACACAAAGAATAGAATAGAATAGAATAGATAAAGAGTTTCTAATTGAAAATGATGATTAGAACCACGATTCATTTATTCTTAATCGTTGTATTCATTTTCAATGCTATTATAGGTTAAGTTATGAGAGAGAGAGAGAGGATTGTTTAAATAAACATTGCAAAAGCTCAATGAGTTAAATCTTTAACATACAGACTAGGCTTCACGCCTTCAATCCCACAAAAGAATAGAGTTTTCGTGCATTTCTCCCATGTTAGCCATTACTGTATGAAAAGGTAATAGAAGTTTTTATTACTACAATTAAATTTTAACTCCCTCCACTGTATTAAATTGTGAATATCTATAATAATAGAGTAATATGATAGTTTAAATTTATCATTGAGCATCTAGTAAAAAATTTCCTTGTCAATCCGATCATCGTTTAAGTATATAGTGTCTACAAAAAAAAACGAATCAATCCTGAATTAACATACAGTATATCGATTCCTTCAAGCAATGTTACTATGTCCTTGTACATAAATATTATTTCCTAACAACGCTTTTTTATTCTCTAAATTATCCATTACCATTGAAAATTGCGTAAAGACTATTAATAACCATTTTCACATCTTTTCCTTTGTGTGTCGCTTTTTTTTTTCCCGTCGACATGTTACATAGCATGGTTGAAATTGAATTTTTTTTTTATTGAACAATTATGATTATGATAAAAAACGTATAGCATGACCAAAACGAATACATAGAACATAATAATAGAAAAAAGAAAAAGAGTTCAAACTCTTTTTTAGAAAATGGTCATTCGTATTGCATGTAAAAATGAAAAGCCAGCTGGTTAAGCCTATTCTTATTTATTAAAGTAATTATTAGAAGCACTATAATATATAGTATATATATATATAGTGTGCGTGTGTGTGTGTGTGTGTGTGTGTGTGTGTGTGTGTGTTTGTGTGTGCCCCTATCTATAAGTCTTTCTTCCCCTAAAGTGTTGTGCCTTTTTAAAATGTTTCTCTTGATATCATCATCTGAATACCTAACGGATAAAAAAATAGTCAAAAAGAAAAAAGATCCTTGTCTCTCGGTTCAGTTCTCAATTTTATATTTAAATAACATTAAGGGGAGACGACTTTCTATTTTTCCACTTTTTTTTTCTCTTCTTCTTCTCTCTTCTCCCTTCTTTTTCAAAATATACAGTGTTGTTTTTGTCCATACTATTTTTCTCGAGCCAAAGTTTGTATGTTGGTGGTCATTTCATTGTATATTCACTCATACAGAGTATATATTTACATATCTAATTTTACCGTTGAACGTATCAATTTATGAGTGTACGACGACGAAAGATATAAAAGCAAGTGCGAATATATAATATGTTTTGTTCGTATGTATAGTACTTATTAAGTATTTCTTTTCTCTTCTTCCTCTTCTCTGCAAGCGTTTTCAATTTGATTTTTCATTTTTTTTTTTTTTTTGGTTCCATAAAGCTCATTTGTCATCGATGGATGATGATAGCGTAAATTGATTAAAATGTTCGTTCAAACATCTTATATCGTCGTCGTTTTTAAAAAATAAAAATTAACGCAGTGAGTTTAGTTTAGATACACGATAATGTAGTGAATAATTCATAAAATTTGCATTCATCCATTCAGATTGCACATTACAGGTAAAAGTAGCTTTAGTACCGGTATGATATAAGTCTTTTTTAATACTACATTAAGCTGACTCTTCTATTTTATGCAACAATTGTAGTCTAACTAATAATATTCTTCGTTAAAAAAATTTACATTCTAATCTATCCAGACTAATATGGGATGAAAGGATTCCGAGTTTAAAAAAAATAGACAAGTTATACAATGATTTATTTAATATATAGAGAGATTTTTTCTTTTTTATTGCTCAAGTCGATATTTCTATTACGCTCTTCCATTCCCATTTTCATCTACTCTCACTAACATCATAATCATTCGGATCTAGTGAAACACAAGGATATGACTAAAGTTTTATAAACCATTGAAATGTGTACATTTATTCAATATGAGCATAAAAAGAAATCTATGCAACAAAGATGATAACTATTTTAAAATATTATTTTAGGTTTACTGTATGTATAATACTATTTTATACATTGTGTGAAGATAATGACGACGAATATACAACAGACAATTCAATATATATTGATTGTATTATATCTTAATATTATTTATTGTTCTGGTAAATGTAATGAGTTTCTATTTTTTACTTTTAATCTTTGTTCGAATAGTTAAATGATGCTTATCGGTAAATATACTCACTACTGGTTAGTCTCTTCGTCGTTTAGCTAAATGTCCTCGAGCAACTTTTCGAATAAAAAATGCGACAATCGAATGGTCTTATAATTTTGCTGAATCAGACGTAGGTAACATTGGTTCACTGCAAACATGTCCATGTAAGTTTCATTATATTATCAATACATTTTAAAATTAATTTTAATATTTATATGAATAGATACAGGACGTCCATATATCTATTCGGCATGTTATTCAAATAGTTCATGGGGTGGTGAATTCTATATTAGTAACTGTACAAATGACAATCAAATAACGACTGATAATAAACAATTTCTATCATCAACATCAACATCAACAATAAACACGTTAGGATTAGATAATAATCAAACTTTTAATAATCCATATTCGAGTATGACAATAAAACAAGTGGCAAATGTATGTTTAACATAAATTTTTCATTCGAATTTTTTAACTTAAATAATATTATTTCAATTATTTTAGATTCCTGATTTTCAACCACAGAATATTACAGATATTTTAATATATTTAAATCATACACCGATTTCATCCTATAATAATTCATCGAACATTGTTTATATTACCAATTTAATCGATCGTGTGACACATTTATCTGGTTATTCAAATGTGACAAATAAGGTTTTTTGAAATATTAAATATTGAATAAAATGCTTTTTTCAGTTCGTTTATTTATTTTTTTTTAATCAAATTTAGACTCAATCTGGTTTTTATTCAATTGCTGATAAACTTTTGTCTAGTCCATCCGTACAACTACAACAAGCACAAGAAACAAATGGAAGCATAGCAAAGTATGAATATATCTTTAATTTTAAAAAGTAACTATATACAGTTTTTTATTCTTAGACTATTGACTACCATCGAATCATTCTCGAAAACTATTAAAGTTCCCACAACATCTGTTCTCAATAATTTTGCTATTAGTGTGATCAATATTGATCAAAATGTTTCAAATCCTATCATGGGTTTTGCTATAGGTAAATTAAATTCAAACATAATTTTTATACAAAATTCATTTCATTTCTTTCATTTAATAAAGATAAATTATCAAAAAAAGTTGATTATGTTAAAATGAATACTAATTTAACAAATTTATCGAAATCAACTTTTGTTACATTGAATAAAAATATTATTAAAATTTTACAAACTTCCATTGGTAAGTTTTATTTTAATATAAAAAGTAATATCTCAATTATTTATCTCTTTTTATCTCTGAATAGCAACAAGTTCACAATCGACTCAAATAGCATTCGCTATTTATGATAATCATGCAGCATTTAATTTACCTAGTATTAACAATAAAAGTCAAATAATAAGCAGTGTCGTGTCTGCTGTTGTCGATCATAACGTTTATAATAACAAAACATTTACTGATGTTATTCAAATTCACTTTTATTTACCACAAGTGAGCCTAATGAATTAAATAAGACTTGAATTATTTGATATTCTAATTTTTAGAAATATCCTCGTAATGTGCAATGTGTCTATTTGAATGTGTTACCAAATTCACTGGCTGAATGGTCAACAAATGGATGTCATTTAATTAATAAAACAAATGACAGTGTCCTATGTAGTTGTGATCATTTGACAAATTTTGCCGTATTAACTGTAAGTATTGGATAAGACTAATAAGGGAACATTCTCAAGTGCCTACTTGGATGGGATTTTTAATAGAAAAATAGAAGTGTATGTTAGTAGTACAAACAATGAAAGGAAAAATAGCTATTTTTCCAGTAAAAATCTTACCGTTGTACTTAACCCTTTAAGACCCAATGTCCACTAGAATGAACATTAGTGGATATCGTAGAATTACTACAGATAGGTGATGATGCGTATGATTAAAAAATGGGTTATCTTCTAACATAAGCTGACAGTATAAGCTAGCAATTGCTCATAAGAAAATTTTTTTCCAGTCAGCCTAGATAAAGATACACGATGTTTCAAGTTTGCATTACGTAATTAGCTGTGGGACGTAAAGGGTTAATATCGCTGTAATTCTGTTGTGCAGTTATGATACACACCAAATTATAGTTAAAGAGATCCTTTATAAAACTTTATATTTGACTAATATCAATGGTGTATTTATCAAGAAATTAAGATTTGTCTTAACTCAGTTTGTTTTACGATACATTTCGTCGGAGAGTAAGAGATAGAGCATCAGTGTATGCATCCTTATGAATATAACATAACGGAATTTAAATATTTTCATTTTTTATTTCAGGATATTCAGTTAATACCTAATGTTGAATCACTTGATGTGGCATTATCCGTGATATCATTGATAGGTCTTATTCTATCATCATTTGGTCTATTTATAACTATTATTACTTTTATCCTATTCAAGTATATATATCTTTTTCCTTATCAAAATTAAATATTTATTTGTTTTTATTTTTAGAAAACTTCGTAAACATTATAGTCAAAAATCATTATTATGTTTATCAATTAATTTACTTCTATCAAATCTTTTATTTTGTATTATTGCCATAAAAACACGAAATGAATTAACAACCGTTCCATGTATAATTATTGCTAGTCTATTACATTATTTTATTTTATCATCATTCAGTTGGATGCTTGTTATGGCTATAATTCAATATTTAATGTTTGTCAAAGTATTTCCATCGTATACACCAAATTTTACGAGGAAAGCAGCAGCATTTGCACAAAGTAAAATTATAATTATTTCACATATAAACTGTGTATTATTGTTCAACGTTTACATTTTAGTTGTCTCACTGATACCTGTTATCATTGTTCTTGCTGTTGATCATCGAAATTACACAACTCGAAAAGATAATGTGTAAGATAAAAAAAAAATGATTTTTATTAGAATCAAAAAGACAAAATAGGATAATTAATTTTTCTCTTTAATTTTAGATGTTGGCTGAATCAATTACCACTCTATTTTGCATTTATTTTACCCGTATTAATTTATATCGTTTTAAATGGAATTATATTTTTTATTGTTGCGCACGCTCTCTTATGTGGTAAAGCGTCAAAACAATTAAGAAGTACACAAGTTGTAGAAACACAACGAATATCACGATTTACGGTTGCTCTTAGTTGTTTCATTGTATCAGGTTTATCTCAAGATAATTTCATGAATTAGAATAGAATTTTAAATATTTTGCTTCTCTTTTTAGGTCTTACATGGATATTTGGTTTTCTAACTATTGGTCCTGTTCGATATATATTTCAAATTTTATTTTGTATATTCGGAACATTAACTGGTTTTTTTATATTTTTATTATATATATTAACATCTCGTGCAAAACGAACATGTTGGGGTGATGCTTTTCAGAAAAAAATTTCAACAATCTATTCATCCTCGTCATCAACCGCAGCATTTCCAGGAAAAGACTTTTCATCTTCATCAATATCGAATTACAATAAAAAACATCCTACGATATCATCACATAATCAACAAGGTCTCGGTATTTATAATACAATGGTACGTCAACAACAACCATTTATTGATGCTTATATGGATGATAATCTCCTTTCAACTCCTACACATTTATTATCACCAAGAGCAACTATGAATTCAACTGCCTATTTGAATGAAGATTCAATCATACCTCAAGCGCCTGTACTCCATCGTTTAATATCATCACCGTATCATCAACAATCACAAGGCTATCCAACGACGATAGGTCATCATGCATGGTCTCCCGAAACAAATTATATATACGAGACAGATCATCCACAGTATCCACAAAATTATTCAATTTATCAAGCACATCAATTATTACAAAATCATGATTCAACGAAACTGTAAATTCTCTTGTGTTTTTGTTTTATCCAGATATAATCAATCCGGTCTAACTTTTATATATTTTCACTTTTATTTTTATTAGTTCGCCTTTTTTTTTTCTTCGCACAGTCAGTGGTGGTTGATTGTTGTTTTTTTCTTCGTAATTTTATAAAAATCACTAAACATTAATGTTTGCGAACATTTCGTTATTTTTCGTTTATACGTCTTTTTTATTTTTTAACTAAGCCGAAGTTAGACTATACGAAAATTAGCAACTGAAAGAGACAAAATTAAGTGAATTGAATCTGAATGGATGATTTTGTATGAATGAGCCTTGGTAGACTTTCTTTTGTTGTTATCAAAGTTTCTGCAATCACAAAACATTATTGTCGATCTGTGCGATAAATTATGCTGCTACTACAAGACGAATCGTGCTGATGAGTAAATAAAAAGCTTCTAAATGTAAAAAATCGTTGAGTCATGGAAATATACAATACTAGACAATAGTGAGTTCATCGCTCGATTTCTCAAACCATAGGCAATAGTAGTTGCAATTTCCAATAGCTGAGCAGAAATGCTGATCTTGTGAGAATCTTCACAATATTTCCGTCCATTGCTCACGAGGCATAGGCATCTTATGCTTTTAACCTCTATATGATTATTTCTCAAATTGAAAGAGATAATTTCTCTATTCATCCATTTTTGTGCAATTCTTGTTATAAATCGTGACTGAATCGTTTCTGACATTGTTATCCCACTTTTAAAAAATTGTCTGTTTTTAAAACTAATTTATAATTCAGCTGATATGAATATTATTTTGATCTGAAACTTTGAGAAAATGCTCTGCAGTATTGAACATTATTTAATGGAATATTCACTATCACACGTTGGATGATTCAGGAGAACCATCAAAAATAAATAAACTTTAGTAACAAAATGTCTACTCATTTATGATTCTTGTAGTTGTCTACTCATTTATGAAGTTGTAGAGCTATAAATCTTTTCATGAAATATTCATCATTCATGAAATAAATAAAATGTTCTGATGCATCATTTCTAATGAATGGTTCATAACAAATCAGTCATTTTGTATTCCGATCAGAATTGTCTCCTTCGGGTTGTCTTCGTTCGGGTTTTATATATTTTATACAGAAATCATGTATCTGTTACGTTCAAATACGAGATGATGATGATGAAACTTACAGTATAGATGGCATGCAAAAAGAATTACACAATAATGGGTGAACAGAGAAATTATCTCTTTCGATTCGAGGAATAATCGTATAGAGGTTAAAAGCATAAGATGCCTATGCCTCGTGAGCAATGGAAGGAAACATCGGAAACACAAGACAGAGGTGCTGAATCTACCCGTTTGCGCCGACGGCCGTCGGAGGAAAAAAACATTTTTGGGGGGAAATTTTTTAAGGTTTTGGAAAAACGAAGAATTATACCAAATAGCAGAATCAGGCATGTGTGATTAAACAGAAACAGTAGTTTTAGCAACAATAAAATCGCATTCTTTTGTTTCTACTTTTGTTTCATGCCAGAAAAATTTTATTATAATCTTTTACCGTCGGGGGAAATTTTCTAATCTCACGAGTAGATTCTGCATCTCTGTCACAAGATCAGCATTTCTGCTCAGCAGTTGTAACTACGTTTGCCTATGGTTTGAGAAATCGAGTGCTGAATCCACTTTTGTACATCGTAGTATAGCTAGTGCTAAAATATAGTGCTCGTTGATCCCTGACATTAGCGACATACATTAACTAATAAATCATAATAAATTTTTAGAAAAGTTTATTAGACAAATTCTTTGTCACCATGATTACAAATGTAAGAAAGGAGCAAAAAAAAAACAACAACAAGAATTATTTATACAGAAAAACGCATTCGACGAAATAAACAAACACTATTAATGAATAGGACAGAACAAAAAGTTTATTTCCTGAACCCTTTCAAAATAGGATAAATACGTTCAAATGCATCGTGAATTTCTCGTCGAACTTTAGCACCTAAAACAGAGATAGAAAAACAAACAGATACCGTCTGTATCTTAGTTTAAAAGAAAAAGGAAACTTACCGGTTAAAACAACTTTTCCAGAAACAAAAATAAGCAAAACAATTTTCGGTTGAATCATACGATAAATAAGACCAGGAAACAACTCTGGTTCGTAACTAACAAAAGAACGAAAAACACGATTAAATACTAGTTAAATAACATTTTACGACAGGAAAATTTACCTGCAAAACTGATGATGTCTAAGAACTAATGCTTCTAATCGAATAGGAAATTTGACATCAACTGATCCAACCATATTTTGAATTTTGAAGTCACGAAACTTCGCCTTTTAAGAAAACACGAAAGTAGTTCGACGATACAACACGGTCATAGAAATGGCCTAAAACTTACTGGAAAACCCAGTTTCTGAATAACGCGTGCGTATCGTCGTGCTGCTTGCAACGAATCTTCTTCACTAAAAATCAATAAAAAAATAAGATCAAAGCTGAAAAAGATTAAATAACCAAATGTTACTACTACCTTTTTGCTCCCGTGCACACCATTTTTCCCGAACCAAATATCAATGCTGTTGTACGAGGATTTCTAATGCGCATTATGACAGCAGCAAAACGTTTTGGATTGTATTCAGCATTTCTTGCCTGTAAAGCAATACGTTTCAAATCCAATTTACACCCAAGATTGACTGTGGACACTATGTTTCTGTAAGAGAAAAAAAAAACGAGTTATGTGAAGAGTAAATAGTCGTATACCAATCTAGAAGCATTTACTGTAAACTTGGTTGTAAATGTGAAACTTCTGATGTGCGAGGTGTCACCGGTGTTAAGGCTATGTATGGTGTTTGTGGATTGTAAGTCGTGTAGGGTTGTCGAGCACTCCCTGCTACGGATGGTGGTCCCATTAGTGTCGTTGTTGTGCTTGATGTTGTTGGAGTAAATGGTGATGCTACAGTTGCCACTGCTGACTGTTTTATATCTTGATTGCTCGACTGAGTGTCTTGCTGTTGACTATTTACACTTCGTACACTTTGTGGGGTAGCAGACGGTAAAGACATAGGTGAAGCATGGTTCGGTAACCCAGATTGTACTGATGGCTTAAAAGAGACAAAATATTTAGAAATGAAATTTTCGCAAAGGATAAAACAGCCTACCACATCAAATGGTGAAAACTCCATGGTGAATAACTGTTATTAGTCTGAAAGATTCACTAATGTTATTTAAAAATTAGCAGTGTTTCATATATTAAACCAAAAATCAATTAGTTCTCAAATTAAAACAGTGTAATTTCGAACGTGAATACAACTGAAATAGACTGATTTGAATCACGGTCACGACTGAAATAAGGAGAATGATAGTATAATCTTTCTAATTAAACCACAAAATATCAATCTACGGTAAGAAGAAATTAATAGTTAAAACGCTATCTGACTGTTACAATGACTTCATAAATCATCACATTAAACTCAAATTTGAACTCAAGACAATAACACGCTTTCTAATGTTTTCCGGGTCATAATAAACAGCCGAGTATCTTTTACGAATTTTCCATGCAAGCTGGAATTAGATTGGTCATCAAAACATGGACTGTTGTTCGGTAAAGAAAGGAGAGAAAAAAACATTTCGGTTGAGGCAAACAAATCGAAAGCATGAAGGAAGTAAAAAGTAATCCATATTCTCAAAATTATCTAACTGTGGCCAATTAATCGTGATTTCATCCAGTGTTGTACAGTGATATGGTCAACTGCAAGAAAGCTATTTTTCTCCTATAATAATGTTTTACCAATGAATATATCACATGAAATGTTAGCGACAATCTGTTGTTAGATTGTGGATGAGTTTTCAATTTAAATAATAGTTCTAAAGCTTTCCTAAAAACAAGGAGCGGGCGAGCACAGAATAGCTGGAAAAATCTAATCTGATACATAGGTCTAAAAAATCTGACCATTAAAACTAGCCATTTTTACTTGGTTCATAACAACCAACTACTTCCCAAAGTAAGTGGTACTTTCTACTTTTGTACTCTAAAACACAAAGTGGTTTCAACACAAGTTTTCAGCGAATAGCATCTGTAAAACTGCTGTTAGATTGTTGTCTAAAACTTGAACCTGTCTCAGCTTTGTTAACGTGAGCTAAATCTGTTTTGTACTAGTGCTTGTAGCACGAGTAAAACAAAGGAAACGCTATGTGTTTTCTTTTTCTTGAAAATAAATATAACATATCTAATCAATCACAAGTAAAGGAAATATATACAATAAAGAAATAAAACAATAGACAATACATTTACTGTGAGTATTATGAATGAATGAATTTATTCACGAAAAGTGAGAGTCATCAAAACAATGGCTCGAGCTTGAGTATTCGTTCACCATGGCAGTTTCAAAAGACAGACAAAGAGTCATTTTGTCCATTTTCAGAATAGAAAACAGGGTGAAAATTGACTTTCGCAAAGTGGAGGATCACTTTGCTTTCATAGAGACCACCAATCATTAGAGTGGGACAATCCACGTTAATCGATATATCAAATTAGATGTAGAAGAATTTTTTCCTCGAATTAGTTAAAATTTACCGTCTGTCAATCGCAGTTTTAGCACAATAAAAAAGTACTATTATTTACAGCATTTTACTATTACTTACGTTTGCACAAATTTCGTAGGATTTTGAGTTAGACAAAAGAAAACAAAGTGGGTTGTAAATTGTAATTAAAGTGCACTAGGATATAAAGTTAGATCTTAGCTCAATTGTGGTGTATCCTGACTATTTATTTATTATTAAATATCTTTAAAGTCTTTCATCATTTATCAAGCTTCAGTGTATCATCTAACTTATTTTGCAGATGAACTACTAATATCGATATTGTCTATGAACATAGAACAACATGGCAAAAGCATACGATTATCTCTTTAAACTACTTTTGATTGGTAAGTAAATAGAAAAGAAGACTTTTAAAGAAATAAAAATCAACGATCTGCTGTAGCACAGTTGTATGGAGACTTTGCAATCGTGTTCAAGTTTGTGATACTGAAAATGTGTTAACATCATAAATCCTGTGCAAAACTTTTTGACCTTCCTTTAATCACGAAGTAGATCTATCTCATGTGACGAATCGTAATGCTTTTCTATTTCTGTCGTATAAAGGTGATTCGGGTGTTGGAAAAACGTGTGTGTTGTTACGTTTTTGTGATTCAGCATTCAGTACAACGTTTATTTCCACAATTGGTAAGCAGATCACTTCAAAATATACTTTTTCAATAAATTCCAACAAATTTTATCATTTCAGGAATTGACTTTAAAATTCGTACAATCGATTTAGAAGGTCGGAAGATAAAATTACAGATATGGTAAGTCATCCTCGCGTCATCTTGTTCAGTTGATGAAAACGCGAATATTTTGTGTTGATCTTATAGGGATACTGCTGGTCAAGAACGTTTCAAAACGATAACAAGTTCGTATAGTAAAGGGTGTGTCATAAAGAATTGCAGTCACAGTATTTTCAACTTTTCTCTTCCGGCGACTTGATCAAACTTATCCTTTTACCAAAAGTTTCAATTGTGTATAAAAAACAAAATGCTGACCGTTTTATTGCCAAATATAAAGATGAAAAAGGAGATGAGAATTTGTGGTACGACAAATATTGTTTGAATCAAAATATTAACCGCAAAGATTCACTCAGAAGTTAGAAAACGAAGAGCAAGAACAGCAAAAATGTTAGACCTTTGTTGCGCGTTAGAAGAGAACCTTCTTTCAAATCTTAGTGATCCGACAATATAGACTAATAATTTCTCTTTTAAACAAAAAAATTCAATCTGAAAGGATCATGTTTGAATAAACTACACTTCTTTTATCGAAAGCCATTACTTACTGAGAAAATGTCCTCATTTTTAGAGAACCTGAAAAAGTCATCATCTTATGATGACAGAAAACTAACAGAGATATACGTTAGCAAAATATACAAGATATACAAGCAAAATACTTCACATAGTTCATTTTTTAAGCGGCCAGCACTTTTCATCTTTGTATTTAGCAATAAAATAGCCAGTATGTTATTATTGTAGAGAATTGAACGAGGAATCTTTTGGTAAAAGAATAAGTTTGATCAGCAGTGAAAAACGAAAAGGAAAATTGAATATACTGTAGCCGCAATTATGACACACCCATTAGCACTCAGCTTCTCCACATAAAAACATTCTGTATGCCATTGATTTCTTTTTAGCCGCTTATTATCGTGGTGCTATGGTAAGTGTTTTAAGTTTTCATATTACATGAGTTTGATCATAATGTTTTTATTTTTAGGGAATTATGCTAGTGTATGATATTACAAGTGAAAAAAGTTTTGATAATATTAAAAATTGGATTAGAAACATTGAAGAAGTAAGTTTAGTAGTAAAAATATTGATTCTCATTATTGTGATGTTCGTTTAAATTTAGCATGCATCAGCCGATGTTGAGCGAATGCTTATCGGAAATAAATGTGATATGGCTGATAAACGACAAGTCGGTCGGGAAAAAAGTGAACAAGTAAGTCATATTTATAATTTAATCCGTTTTATGGATGGAAATATCCATCTGACATATAGTTTGATTATAGTTAAACTGAACTTTGAATAAAAATAGTATCTGCAAGTGCTTTCATTATAAAAAAAGTTATTTATGAATAAATCGTATAATTTGCTCTTTTTCTTCTTTAGCTAGCAATAGAATATGGAATAAAATTCATGGAAACAAGTGCCAAAGCAAACATTAATGTGGAAGAAGCCTTTACTACGTTAGCAAAAGATATTAAAGCAAAAATTGATAAAAAGAGCGTAAGTGGGAAAAAAAGTGTCACCTGGCATTACGGATAATTTAGCTGAATTAATCGAGATCATTGGACTTCGTCCATATTTGTTACATTAAAAAAGTTTTCTTCTGTTTATAGGGTCCGGAGACAGCGCCAACTGTTATTAAACCAAATAAAAATCATCATGAAAAGAAAGTGTCGTCATTTTGGTCAAAATGTTCATTATTATGATTTAATACGTCCAAAACAGTTTTATTCTTAATTGTGCTACAAAGTTCTCAGTCTTCTTTATTTGTTGTTATTCTTTCTATTTTTCTATAAGTAACGCCCCTCTTGTAAATGAAATATTTCGATTCAACAAAGAAAGAAAATAACACTTAGTTATTCATTATGGTTTCTTTTTCATACATGTCTGTCGTTTTTTTGCTATCTGTCCATTCTTTATCATACGCAGTGACTGAGTAGATAATCTATGGTGCTGGCCGCCTAAAAAATGAACTATGTGGAGCATTTTGCTTGTAAACGTATATCTCTCTGTTAGTTTTCTGTCATCATAAGATGATGAGTTTTTCGAAAAACTGAAGAAGAGCTATTTGTTAAAAGTAAATTATGATTTAGCCCACTGCAGCCGATTGGCCAAAGAATTTGGCTTTCGTTTTTTTTTGTATGTTGAGAAGTTTTCTAGTAAAAATGTTATGTAGATGAAGTCTCCACTGATCGGCTTTTTTTTCTCTCGACTTTTTATAACAACCATTTATTAGTAAAGAACAGCATGAATCGAGCTTTTTCTCTTTTTTATTGTTGTATTTATCGATTCGTACTTTTGTTTTTTCGTATATAAAGTTTCAAAAACAGATTATCAAACAAATTCCTAAAAAGCAATATTTTGCTACGGTTATGTGTTATGTGTGTGATTAACCTCATTCCTTAAACATTCAAGTTGATCACCACTGTCTTTTGCTTCGCATATTGTTGTTGAATAAAGAATACTGTCTTCCATGATTATTCTACACGTTTGATCGTTTTATTGTGTTGTTACATCGCGCACGCGTGCTATATACTCAATTCGTGAATAAACCATCTCTCTTTTTATTTATACTCGGTTCTTTCAGTTGTTTGTATTTTTCTGTTGCTAATGTTCAAAAAATCAATGCGTTATCTGTCTAGATATTTATCATATCTTTCTTTTTATCTTTTGAACAATAAATATTGAAGTTGGGAAAGATTTCTAACGAGAGACAAAAAAGATAATATTCTTCATCGAACTTTTCAAACATTTATACCAAAAAAGTTGAATTAAATAACTCCAGCAGATATAGTTTTTTCACTAAGTAATTAACAATTGTGAGTACGAATGTTGCTGAGGAAATCGATTTTTCTGAGCATTGCAAAAAAGTGAGTAACTATTATTGCTTGAGAGTAAGTCAGAAAAAAAAAACTAACAACACCATCGCTAATGAGTGGTCAAAAATCTGACTGAATAACTACAGTTATCCTACAGACACACTCAAGTTAAACATAGTTACTCAGGGTACGAATTTGTTACCCAGTCTAGTATAGAAAAAATTCAAAACAACTTCAGCAAAAGTCGGAAGAATTACTCACTGCAGTCCTCTTTATCTGATTATCTAACAGATTTTTTTCTCAAAGTGAGTGATTCATTGTGGAACACTCGTCTAAAATTGATTAGAATTATATCCGGTTAACGGCTTGTCCAAGCGTGACGCTGTGACATTTTTGACACAGTAATATGAGCTTTTCTCAAAAAGTGTAAGAGCTAGAAACTTCGTTCTTGCGCCATTCGACGCAGCTCGCCATACTCTACTTTTGGTATAAAAGTGAAGGTATGTAGTTAAAGGCTCAAATTTTTAGAACATTTTTCGGCGCGTGACGCAGTGACAAAAAAAGGCCCTAAATTCGAAATTGTTCTCATTAAAAGCAAATTTGCTGCGAATTTAGAAGAGTTAATAAAAAGCGCCTGAAGCAAAGTTTGTGGCGGAGTAAACGAGCTACTGATTGCTAAAAAAGAATCTTTTCAATAAGCTTTCATCTCTCAATAATTGTGTTTTATCGTCGTGACGCTGTGACACACTTTTTTCCCAAGAAAGTTTGGAGCACTAAACATTGCTTAAAGGATTTTATTTTCACATCGGACTTAGTTTTAGGCATCTAATATAGACTAATATGAAACCAAAGCTGAAAAAATGTTCTCACTTTCTTAGAATTGTGTGAGAATCTTAAAACTTAAAACTTTATTAAAAAGCTTGTTCTGAGTCTAAATTTCAAAGAAACATACCATCTTGTAGAGAATCGAATTCTCTATCGACTAGTGTACTTCCATGTTTATTAGGAAAAGTGTACAGATGAGGAAATTGAAAATACAGTTTTCAAAAAATGTAAAACTGCATTTTGGGTGCTAAAATTTAACTTTTAAAAAAAAATAATGTAAGATTCGTAATTAGCACCAAAAACTGCATCTAGTGATATGCTCCTTTCAGTTCTACTCTAAAATAATTTTTTCGTAAAACGTTGAAAACCTGAGCAAAAAGAGGAATCAAGTATGGTGCTAAGAATTAAAAAATGGAGCAGGATTTTTTCGTTTTATGTATTATGGCTGGACATAGCTCATCGAGTTACCTAGAAGAAAGCCAGTTTTAGGTATAAACTTTCGAAACACTAAAATTCGGAAAACAGGCAAAAATGAATGAAATTTAAGCGTTCTATTCTGTTACATACGTGTGAGAAAAAAGCTAACGTTGAAGCATTGCTGAAGAGTTTAATTATTGACATCAGTAAATCAAAAAGTGGGAAATTTTGATCCTACATCTAGGTTTTAATCTACAAAAACCAAATCGCAGGTAAAGTTTACCTTTAGACCGTTTCAGGACTTTTTCAAAAATTTTGTAAAATTCCGACGAAAAATATTTTTGGACAAAAAAATATTACCTGAAATCTTTTGAAAAGTCTGAAAGCCGCCTTACTTTTAGGCAGAAAACCTGAAGCACCTGAAACTTCCAGAAAGTTTATCGTTTAAAACGACTTTCTTTGGTTTCGACTGTCTTGAGAAGTTGCATTATTGATTAGGCGTATTTGTTTCCTTTGTTATCTATTGCCTGTGAGAAAGTTCTATTATAAATGTCGAATGAAAGTGTTTAAATATCACACATCTTTCTTTGTTTTGCATCGGCAACATCTTTTACCAACGATTCTTTTTGTTTCAGTTCTTTTTGCAGTGCGTGGCACTTTTTTTAAATATACTTCAAGCTAGAGATCTCGGGTTGGTTTTATTTTAAACTAGACACCTAACTGCGTGGGCTGATGGGACCAGATTTTCCATTTAGGCCTTATTTCTCTAGAAAATTAAGGATCTCTGGAAAATCCGAACGTTTTTTTGGGGGCTTTAAGGATCTTGGATCTCTAGAAAACCAAAGACCTAAATCAAAAATCTGGTCTCATCAGTCCACGCAGTTAGGTGTAGTTTACAATAAAACCAACCCGATATCTCTAGCTTGAAGTATATTTAAAAAAAGTGCCCCGCATTGGAAGGTAGATTTTTGACCTTGGACTCTGGAAAACCCCGGAACCGTAAGGGATAGTGAGGAAAAAAATTTCATAACCACACTTCAGCATGGCAAACATTTGCTGAAAGTGGCATCAAAATCTGATGTAAGACAAAAAAGCTTTTTCTGAGGGAGACCCTTAAACGTGTTAAGTGGAAAAGCGGTTCCTAAAAAGAGCAGTTTGGGTACACTTTTTTAGAATGTACTTCAAGGGTTCTGCTCGTTTTTCAAGAATATTTTTATGATTTAAGATTTGAGTTCAAGCAAAGTTTCTGAAAGCTCATCTGCCTTGAAGATATTGATATAAACTAAAATAACAGTGAAATAGTTTAAGAATGAAAATGACTAGATTCGAGTCATCAGGAGTACCACCGAACGAACATGGACAACACAATCTACACTCTTAAAAAAGACGCGTTTTTCAATTTTTCAAAGAACTGAAAAGTTAACCGGAATTATGGACTTCATTTGTCCCAAATAGAGAACTCAAATTCTGTTGTTCAGCTCTCAAGAACTCTAAATTTGTTTTTCAATTTTTCAAAGAACGAAAAAAATCATTTTTTTAAAAACTGAAGAACATTTTGACTTCTTGAGAGCTGAAGAACAGAATTTGAGTTCTCTATTTGGAACAAATGAAGAACAAAATGCCCGTTGACTTTTCGTGTTGAAGAACATGTTCTTTCAAGAGTGTAATTAGCTTACGTTTTGGTAAAATGGAACATGAGCATCAACATCTAGTATTTGAAGTATCTAATCTGTATCATGCTGATGTTTGTGACCTCGGAATTGTGGCAAGTTTGGCCGGGAAAACATATGCACGTGAAATTTGTTCAAATACGACACATGAAAGAGGGAAGAGGACACTTGTATCGTCGTTCTATTCTAATTGTTTGCAGTACATCCCTCAAGTTCGTTTAATTTACGTGTATAAAGATTTATTTTTAAGAACTCATCATATCTTCGTGAGATATTGTCAGTTGAAATTGAGAAACATTTTAACAGATTTAACAGAAAACATTTTCAACAGATACAGCCCTTTTTCTGACATAAACGAAGATTTTGAAATGAAACCGACGCCACCTCACACCGCAGTATGGTTACAGACAGACTTCTTATTTATTATTCTCTCAATTAAAACTATCAAGCTTTTTCTTAACTCAGAAATTGAAATCAACTTTTTCCAATTCCAGAAAGATTCAACAATTTAGGAATTCAAGAATAGAGAAATAAACATCAAGCTTTCAAGAATTCAACAATTCACAGACACTTTTTAGCTTTTTCAATTGACAGAACATAAAAATTTAAAAACTGAAAATGTGACTTTTTGTGAACTTCTTGAATTCCAAAAAGTCAAAAATTCTTTTAATTTGTATTGAATCGGTTTGAGCAATTCTTGGAATTCAAGTATTCATTAATTGAATGAATACATAAGTTTTAATTGAGAGAGTAACAAATGAGAAGTCTGTTTAGAAAATCTTCAACCGTATTACGGTGAATTAGGTTTCCCGGAGACCTCTGATAGCCTTATTTCTCAAACAACTAAACGATTTACACACAGCTCGTTGAACTGCGAACGTTTCAGTAATCTATAGCCCGAAATGAGCTATGTAAGACCAACAGAAGACAGTTTTGGGTATCAGTTCGGTTGAGAAACATGCTGTAGCATTTTCT